CACGCATCCGATGACTGCACTTCACGCTTCTTGGCGCCTCCCTTTCGCTGATGTTCGAAAGGATATGAATTTCGTGCAGTGGAACGAATAGACTAGGGAAGACCAGGACAAGAAGAGTGGCCTCTTGTTCGCATAAACCCTAAACCCTAAACCCCATGATGAAAATCCCGAGCTCAAGAGGCTAATTAAGCCTTAAGCAAACAAACCCTGCCCATTCATCACTAGGTTAACCCGAAAACCGACAACGAACCCTTAAACCCTTAAGTCCTAAGTACTAAATGCTAAACTCAAATTCCTATAAAACATTCGATGCCTCTGCCCAACCCAAACCTGGGCAGGAGAAGTTCAACCACGCCGCCGAGTTAAATTTTGAAGGGTGGTTTCTTAAGTTTTTATCGTGTTTAAAATATAAAACAAAAGGGGTTGCCAAATAATACACAAAGGTCCATGCCACTTAGGGGTTTAGGGGTTTAGGGGTTTAGGGGTTAAGGCTTAGGGCCTTTTCTCGGTTTAGGGGATATGTGTGTCCGTTTGAGTTTGCCGGTTCTTCCCCACCAACACCTTTTCTTACCTCTTCACCTCAGATCATCTTGGACACAGTTTCTAGGTCTCCTTGCACATGACTGCTACGGAACACCTAAGGGTTGGTTTTGAGTATCACAGTTTAGTCGTAAAACAAAACCAATCAGCAGCTATCTCTGCCCGCAAGCAACTGCTCAAGTCGTTGCCCTCACACCTTCAAGGCACGCTGGTCGCCTTTTGCTTCAAGCTTGCCACAGGCCACCCTGCTTGAGGGTTGACAATCCCTCAGCCCTAAACCCTAAATCCGAGCACTGAGCTTTCATAATACGCTCTTGTAAGCGTCTTCAGCCTGTTGCTCACTTGGTAGTTTCCGGCTCGAATGATGGTATTTATACATATGTACATATATATATATACATATAAATATTGTCTGTAACGTCCTAGCCCTCTCAAGCACGGGACTGTCGCTCTTCTTTTCTGAGTGCTCATCCTTTGCATCCAGTTCTAGGAGGTACCAACCCCCTTGTACAATGAACGAACCACTTTACATCTTCAACCCTCTTTTCTAACGCCCTCCTATGTGCAGCCCTTGGTCATTTTGCGTTCAGTCTTCGGGAACATTGATTTAAGCTTCAAGCCCACTTCTTCCCTTTGCCTTTTCTTTTGGCTTGCGGTTTAGCATAGGCTTTTGGCTTTGAGGAGCTTTTGGGGGCGGTCTTCGGATCGGTAGGGTTGAGGACAGTGGAGCGGCCCCCTTGTCGTCATAAGGACCTTTTGGTTTGAGTTCAAAAGCACATAGCTTCGATGACAAGTCGGCCAAGGGTACGCTAGCCCCCAGCCGAAGCAGCGAAGACCCAACACTCAGATAACCTTTTTTTTAAGCCTATAGGCCATACGCCTTATGAGGTCAAGGCTTCGAACCCCGTCAACCCTCTGACTCCCAAAGCCCGAAGAGCACTTGAACCAGGGTTTGCTGGGTAAAGTTCTAGTCTTAATGGCTTTCGAAGCCCTACACTCAGCACCCAAGCCCGAAGAACACTGAGCCAGATGGGAGGTTACCCCTACTTCCTCACCGGACCAGTTCACGGCAAGGATGTGTGACGAGAAAAAAGGCGCTGCAGCCAAACCCCTCAAACCTTGTAAGGCCCCAAGGCCTAGTCCTGCGCCATCGTCGGAAAGTACGACTCCTTTACTGCAACCCTCTTTCCTAAGCCCGAAACCCTAAACCCATAAGACCGCGTGGATAAGCACGAACACACCCAGGAACCTACGCCGGAACATGAGATCCCATCTGCAAACACAGTGAATGCCGAAGTGTCGAAGCCTGAAACCCCAACCCCCCCCCCCCCCCCAAGGCCCTAAACACTGAATCTCTCCCCCCAAAGCAAAGGCTGAAAGAGAGGGAAAGATGTTTTTCCCCTTTGTTGTTGTTTAGTAGAGCATTTCTTAGAAGGGGTTGAGGGTAGGGTTTAGGATCCTGTGGATTTTAAGATCAGGGAGAGTCGGTTTGGGAAAGAGCTCGGCGACCGGGAGCCTGAGCTCCGCCCATGGGGCCTTTTGTGGCAACAAAGCCCTGAGTCCTACAACCATGAACCCTAAACCCCTAAACCCCTAAACCCCTAAACCCCCAAACCCCTAAACCCCTAAACCCCTAAACCCTTAACCCCAAACCCCAAACCCTAAACCCTAAGTCCTACAACCATGAACCTTGCACCCTTTAAGAAGGGCTGCGGAGAAGGGGAGTGTGAAGCTCCAGCCTTTAACCTCCGAACACCAAACCCTTCACCCTGTATGAAACTCGGGGATTTAGGTCTAAGGGCTGAACCCCAGAACCTTCATAAGACCCTGTAGGGTTTGGGCTTATTTAGGGTCGGTAGGCCCCCCGAACTTTCATTCTGTTCTTTCCCTAGTTAGTTCCCTATTTCCACAAACAGTGTGTCAGCACTAAGGGGTTCCAACCGCTGCGGACCGTGTGTTTTCCGGAAGCCTGCTCGTTGTTAAGACGAAGATCACGCTCTTGCCTAGGCGCAGGCGTGTCGGCGCTCGCCGTCCTCGAAACTGTCGTGTTTTTTTGGCCTCTGGGTTCCCGCAAGGCGAAACTGTCTTTGCTTTTGGACGTTTGGGTTCCCCCAATGGGAAGGGTTCACCAAATGCAAAACCGTTGTGGCTGTTGGACGTCTGTGCCCACCAAATGCATAACTATTGTCGCTGGTGAACGTCTGTGTTTCCCAAATGCAAAACCGTCGTCGCTTTTGGACTTCTGGATTGCTTGGAGAGCTCTTGGCATATTGTGCACGTGCCCTTTGGTTGATTGGTGTCCTCTTTCATGTCCCCAATGGTTTGTCACTGTTTGGGGTCTATGCTGGCATAATTTCTTGGCTGGGCTTAAGAGGATCTTGTTTCGGATTGGCTTTTGTAGGGGTGTCCTGGGAAGCCTACTGAACCACAAGAAACCACCCTGTAGGGCTAAACTTCAACCCTAAACCCCCTAAGCTCTTGGCTTATGGGCTGTCGGACCTCAGTGGGTTTTCAGAGTTACCTTGAGATCTTTCGGGTGTTAAGTGTTTCTGTGATTTCAGGCCTTTGCGGGTTTCGGGCTTTCAGGGCTTTTCACAACCGCTGCTGCCGCGGCTCGGCTGGTAGGGCCCCGACAGTAGAAGTGCGTCAAGGATCCTGTCACTGCGACTGTGAGCCCTTGAAGCTATAAACTGCAGACATGGCACTTCGCGCCTGAACCGAACTTTGCACCTCAGCCGTCTTAGGCATTCATATTCCGATGGAACATTAGAACACACCTTCAAGCTCAGAGTCCAGATACAAGGGGCCCTTTCATCGGTCCCTCCTTTTCCTTTGGTTTTTTTGGGAGTCCCACTTCCCCGGTGCCACGGCACTGCAAACGCTGTGCCTAAGCCGCTCATTACAGGCTCGCAGGGCTGGGCTGATTTCTACTCGTATATTGTTATTGCAGGTAGCATCATGGTAGCTCTCAGACGTCTTACTACCATTATTCTCTTTCTGAATTGTGAGGAGTAGTCGTTATGGTCCTGGTAGGACCTGGTAGGGTGGCAAAATACAGGATAACTTCAGAGCATTGGGACTGGGGCAGGGTATAGGCGCTGACAGTAGTCGTCGTCGTTGTCGTCGCAGCAAGTAGCTATAGCAGCGATTAGTCGTCGTCATCGTCGCAGTCGTAGTGGTCGCGGTCATGTTGGTAGCACGGGTTCGTGGTGGTCGTGGTGGTGGTAGCAGTGACAATAAGTAGTTGTGTCACGTAGGCAGGAGGGACGTGTGGGAGTGAGTCAGGACATTGCCAGCCGTGACTGAAAGGTTTCAAGGTTGCCGGACTTTAGTGTTCTTTACCGCATGTGAAACCTTGGCCCTTCAAATTGCACCCTAAACATTTGCTGAAAACACGCTAACATCTGTCACCTCATTTCTCCTCACCTCGTTGATTTTGCCAGTTCCCTGAGCCCTCCCTAAACCTGAAGGTTTAGCTTGCTTTACCCCTCTATCCTAGATTTCTCAAATCGTGTCAAGCTGGCCGAATGGGCGAAGCCATCCGAGTTTTTTACGTTGATTTAGAAGGGCCCCTTTAAGCCCAAACGTTGCTAGCCCCGACCTTTTTCGATAAAAACGGGGTTTTTCGGAGAATCGATTGAGTACTTGGGGGTTTGTAGGGGGGTCAGGGGGATGGACGGTTTCTCTGGAGTTTTTTGAACCTGTGGTGTGTGGCATCCGGCCCTAAGTAACCCCCCCCACCAAACGGTTCGGCTCCTGGCAGATTGACAGACACCATGCTCTCAGCTGTCCATGCCCTTGCATTGGACACTGCGTCTCGGACAGCGGGGCTAGGTGCGGCTAGGAGCTAGGTGTGAGGGTTCGTAAATTCCAGCCATAGGCTATCTCCTGAGTGCTCAATAGTATTCAATAGAGGTATCATAATGTTAGTGTGACAGCTTCCGAGCTTAGGGGCCTATCAGGGTTTAGTGAACATGAATGTTACAGTGCTCGGGGTCGAAAGTGTAAACGCTGCCAGCGGTGTAGGCCGTAGGCATGCTTTTGTATGTTCTGAGCTTTACAATGAACCCCCTAAACCCTAAACCCTAAACCCTAAACCCTAAACCCTAAACCCTAAACCCTAAACCCCTAAACCCCTATAAACCCTAAACCCCCATTAGCAAACTCTAGGGGCGATAGGAGGCCCTGAACCCTGAGCCCGACAGTTGCATTGGCTCCATGGCTGAGGCAGGCCAGTGGACTGCAACAACTCAAAGACATCAAAATGCACCTTTTAGGGTTTAGGGTTTAGGGCCAGTGAGATCATCCTGTCCCACCCAAACTACGGGCTAATTACTTAATGACCGGCTATTTGTGCCTTATTTTGGGAAGTTTGGGGGTAAAATGGATTGGAGGTAGTGTGTAGGATGCTATAAAGGCAACATGCAACTTCGAAGCCTCTGAGCCTGAAGCAGATTTTCATGGACCCCACTGCTGTTAGTGAGAGGGGCCTGTATGAGAAGGGCTCAAAGCAGGATTTGAAGCACTGTTGTGTCAGACTTCCTGGCCAAGACAGGGGGGGGGGGGGGGGACTTAATTAATAGCTCACCCTAAACCCTAAAAACTGCCAACCACAGAAAGGACCCATCATCTAGATCGACTGCCAAAAGGCCGGCTACAATGCCTAAGAGTCTAATTCTCATGCCACCCTCGATCCTAAATCCTAAGCTTTATAATCCTTCGGTTTGGGGAGTCGAGCCCAAAGTCCGAAGCCACAAGCTCCAACGCTCAACGCCCGAAACCTCGTTATTCGTGCAATCAAAGGGTTTTTGGGTTTAGGGGTTGTAGGGTTTAGGGTTTAGGGTTTAGGGTTAGGGTTTAGGGTTTAGGGTTTAGGGTTTAGGGTTTAGGGTTTAGGGTTTAGGGTTTAGGGTTTAGGGTTTAGGGTTAGGGTTTAGGGTTTAGGGTTTTTATAGGGTTTAGGGTTTAGGGTTTAGGGTTCAGGGTTCAGGGTTTACAGGGTACAGGGTTTAGGGTTTAGGGTTTAGGGTGTGGGCACTCCAACTGCCAAGATGTCCCAAGAAGCTCAGGTTTCACACATTGCCGGCGAAGCTCCTGTCATCAATGCAGAGAAGGTCGCACTGGGCCTAAGCCCGAAACCCTAAACCCGAACTAAGTTGTGGGATACCAGTACCCGAAACACCAAAACCCCCCTTCAATCCCTCCAAAACCCCAGATATCTAGGACCCCGAGTAGGGCCTTATTCCATTTTTAAAAAGGTTCCCGCGTTCCCGTATAAGCACCTTTACAACACAAAAGAAGGGCACCGTTTTCATTCCTTGGTTACTCTTGGGTCTAGGTTCTAGATATAGTTATGCATTGTTTTTGTTATCGTTTGGGGATTGGGATGGCGTCGTTCCGACTCATGGAAAAGTTTCACCCAGCTTCTGAAGAGGGGCACCCTAAACCCTAGCCCTGGTGGAGAGGGTCTGACTACTGACTCAGTACTCAGGAAGTGATCCTCCGCGTCGAAGCACTCGTACGCACCGAAAACGAAAAAACAAGCCTGCTCGTCTTGGGTTTGGGTTTTCGAAGCTGGGGTTTAGACATGTTTGGACCCACTTCTCCCTGAGGAGTTTGACCGGTTCATGAAGAGCTATGAGTTTGCCATCGAGGCACAGAAACTCAAACGCAACTTGTCTGAGTCGCCACCCCTAAGCTTCCCGGCCCAGACGCCCTAGAACCCAGTTCAGCCCTCTTTTGGATGGTTTGAGAGCCCCGGCCCCCCCTCCCCCCCACCCTAAACCCTAAAGCCCAGACCCTAAGCCCCTATTCTAAATCCACCAAGGTGAGGACATCACAAACCTCATGGAATTGGTTGTTGACCGGATGGCCGCTTTCTCCACAACAACAGGGGCTTGAGTTTAGGGTGTAGGGTTTAGGGCTTGGGGCTTGGGGGTTAAGGTCTTAGTGCTAGGCCCTCAACGCTAAACTCCGCGGAGCATACACCTGGAAGGTACATGGGGTTTGGGGGTTACGCTTCAGAGTCTGGGTTTAGGGTTTAGGGTTTAGGGTTTAGGGTTTAGGGTTTAGGGTTTAATTAGGGTTTAGGGTTTAGGGTTTAGGGTTTAGGGTCTTTGGCCTTCGGAGAGGACCTTACTTCTTGCAAGGAATGCTTCCAGGAATTCCGCCGCCGCCTGAACCCCCCACCCCCCGCCAATCTTGTAGAGGGGCGGGGTGCCCAGATGGGAAGAAAGCCCGCTGCCGAGTCTCAATTAGGGGGTTGCTCTCTCTAATTTTGGGGGCTCTAAAACCTAAACCCTATATACCCTATAGACCCTAAAAACCCTATGAACCCTAAGCCATAAGCCATAAACCCCAAGCCCGAAAGGAACAATGGCAGAAGAAAAGCCGCGTAAACCTCGCAGTTGGTTTCGGATTGTTACGGAGCGACTTGAGACCCAGTGGCGCATGGTAGATATGAGGAAGGTTTAGGGTTTAGGGTTTAGGGTTTGGGGTTTAGGGTTTAGGGTTTAGGGTTGAGGGTGTTTGGGGCGTATAGGGTGTTTAGAGTTCATAGGGCTTACAGGGCGCATGGCATCTACATCGCTTATAAGGTTCGTACAGCGTTTATTGGCTTATAGGGCTTGTAGTAGGGGTTATAGGATTCATAGAGTTTATAGGGTTTCTAGGAGCGTGTTCGAAAGCATAGAGGGGCTGGAGGGAGAATTACAGGGCTTGTAGGGGTTATAGGATTTATAGAGTCCATAGGGTTAGGAGCGTGTTCGAAAGTATAGAGGCAGCAAGATCGCTCGGAGCCAGTCCTCACTAGGCCCTACATATAACCCTAAACTTGGGATGTTCCCCCCTTACACTAACATGGGTTGTAATAGGGGGGCACTACAATCCCTATTAAGGACTGTCAGTATAAGGGGGAACATCCCAACCCTAAACTCTCAATGAACCCGAAATCAAGGCCCTAAACCCTAAACCTTAAACCTCGCTCCCACCAATCCCTGTACGAAGGCTTTCTGGTATGGCGGACGTTTGAGTGCGTGGTGCCCGTAGTCCCCAAACCCTCAGAGTTTGGGGTTTTAGGTTGTTTAGGGTTTAAAACCCTCAGGGTTTGGGGCTTAAGTTAAGGTTTGGCACTTAGCTTAACCCCTATCGACCCTAGTCCTCCAAAGCCCTCATCGTCCTCAGGACATGTATCACCTCATCGGCGCTCTGTTGCTAGAGTTCTGCGTCGGCTTCTACGGCGAGTTTAAAATGCTTGAAGAGGACTCCAACCTTCAACCCTCAGCCCTCAACCCCATTAAAGCCCTAAGCCCGAAGCCCGAAACCCTGAACCCCGAGGCCTAAACCCTAAACCCTACACTACATAAACACTAAACCCTCAAGGCTCAACCCTCATTGAGCACCCTAAGCCTCAAGCCTAAACACTCAGCCCGATTTAAAGCCCCTAATGGATTTTAGAGTGAACCCTAACTTAAGCCCTCAACCCAAAGCCCTGAAAGACAGAACAAAACCTGGAGAATGAAAGCTGCTCCATCCGCAAAAGGGCCAGGCCAGTAGGACCAACAAGCAGGCTGAGGGTTTAGGGTCAAGGGTTTAGGGTACAAGGTTTAGTACAAGGGCGCTCGGGGCTTCGTCGGAGGTACGTCGGGGCAGAAGACGTGTGCACGAGGGCGCGGTTACTGTGCACTGGTTCGCTCATGAAGCCTCCCGCCTCCCGCCCGCACCTGAATTGTTGGTCAGATGCACGCGCGCAATACTACGTAGTCAAGGAACATACGCCTTAGTCCTGGCTGTTCTTGCCACAAAACGGGAGCCCCCAGCCTGTTGCTTGTGTTGTTTCTTCAACCCTCTTCAGCCGAAACCCCAAATTGCCTTGTAAGCCGATGCACCAACGCAGGACTATGTCAAAGAGCCAAAGCTCATCATGGAGATCTTCTTGCTCAGCGCCCCTGATGTGTATGGCTTTTCAAGGGGAGGAGCTCAAGTTGCCAAAGGAACCTGAGCCCCTCAACTCTAAGCCCCTAAGCACTCTGCAAATCTTCGCAACAAACTTGAACACCAACATCCAAACCGAGGTTTTGAACTTGGAGGTTTCTATGACCATGGAGACTTCTGTCTAGGCCGCCAAGAATCTGGAGCATTGCCCAAATGCTACGGACCCCAGGTAACATTGCAGCTGTGGGCTACCTGCTCTTTGCGATCTGGCCCCCTGGAGTATTCAGGGAGCCCAGGTTGTAGTTCGCCTGGGGCAGTCGAGGGAGTTTTGCAGGTTTAGGGTGTAGGGTTTAGCGTTTAGGGTTTAGGGTTTGGGGTGCACCCGAATCCCGAAATCTAAACCATTCAGATTGGGACGATGGCTGTAGCATCGCCAGGGGAATCCAAAATTGCTGGTTTTCCCCTGGGTACTGAAGTACAGTACCTCGTTTGTACATACATCGGTTTAGGTCTTTAAGCTTTGGCTTACAGTCGGGGATCTGCACGTTGCAGGTGAAATCTACTTCGGAGTTTTGGGTGGAAAGCCCTAAGCCCTAAACCCATTCGGGGTCTTGAACTTGTCAACTTTGCAGGGGCAGGGAGTGATGGGCCGGTTGGTTTAGAGCTTAGGATTTAGGGATTCTAGGTTGAGGGCTTGGGGCCTCAGGGTTTGGGGTGGAGGTTGCAGTAAGGGTTTAGGGTTACACACGAGCCACAACCCGATGCACCCTGACTTCTTGTAGCTTAGGGCTTAGGGTTTGTAGGGTCTAGGGTTTCAGGTTTAGGGTTTAGGGTTTACACCCCAAACCCCAGACCCTAAACCCTAGACCCTACACCCGAATTCAACCCAAAGAGCTGTCCGGAGGCTCTCGCTCCACGCCTCGGTCGCAGCGCATGCCATTGGTGTGGAGTTCCTTCTGGACCGCCTGTGAAGGGTCTAGGGTCTAGGGTCTAGGGTCTAGGGTCTAGGGTCTAGGGTCTAGGGTCTAGGGTTTAGGGTTTAGGGTTTAGGGTTTCGGGCTAAGGGTTTAGGGCTCAGGGTTTAGGGACCAGAAGCGCCACACACACGCCTCTTGGAACCCTCAACCCTAAGCCATATTTTCAATCCCTACAGACCCTATAAACCATAAACCTAGCAGGGGCTCTATGAAAGTTCAGGGTTTTGTGGGTTTACGTGTTTGGGGGTCCAGGAGCCTAGGGGGTAAGGGATTAGGTTTTTTTTTTTCGAAATCAGGGCTTAGTGCTTCATTGTTTGGGAGCCCTTCGGGGGTTTTAGGGTTCAGGGTTTAGGGCTTTAAGGTTTGTTCATGATGGAGGCCAAGTCTGCACTGCCTGCGCACGAGAGGAGGAGAAGACCCGACTCAGTCTTCAGACCTTCAGCCCTAAACCCTAAACCCTCAACCAGTAAAAGCAGACCCTGAAGCCGCAGTGAAGCCCAACTCTGTTGAAGTAGCCCATGACCCTAAACCAAAGACCAAAAGTCGGAGCCCTTGAGGACCTCAATCGACTGAACCCTAAACAGCTGAGCTGAGCAAAACCTCAGATTCTTAGAAGCCCTAAACATCCGAAATGCCCCCAAAACTCCTAGAAGGAAATCCTAAGCATCCGAAAAAGACCCCCCCCAAAAAAACCCTAGGAGCTCAAACTCCTTGCAAGGACCACAATCGATTGACCATCCCCACCCCGGACAACCTCCGCGAGATGCGACAAGCGACCTCGCTCTTTCGCTCGATCTACAGGCCCCTGGGTGGCCTTAGGGGCCTCTTAGCTTTGGGCTTGGGGTTTAGGGTTTAGGGTTTAGGGTTTAGGGTTTAGGGTTTAGGGTTTAGGGGTGGTTTGCCTAAGCCTTATAAACCCTAAACCCGACAGGGTTGGTAAGGCTTCTAGTTCAGACAACCCAGACGGGCTGAGCCCAAAGAACCCTGAACAAAACCCCAAACCCTCCATGGGGTTCTTGGGGCTGAGGTCCGCAAGTGGTTTACAGTAGGGGGTTTTAGGGTTCTAGGGTTTTAGGGTTTCAGGGCTCTGGGGATTTTAGGGTTTGAGGGGGTTTGAGGGGTTTTTGGGATTTAGGGATTTAGGGTTTGGGGTGTTTCTGGTTTCAGGGCTTCAGGGCTTCAGGTTTTTGCTCTCATAGGGTTTCAGGGTTTTAGGGTTTAGGGTTTTAGGGGTCTTATAAAGGGTTTGAAGGGTTTTTGGGTTTAGGGTTTCTGGGGGTGCAGGCTTCAAGGGTTTCGGGTTTAGGGCGGCGCTGTATTCTCCAGAGCCAGGTTGAGGTGTGCTCCTGTATCCGGGAAGGCGGTTGCCGGGTCCCGGGTGGCTGGTTCATGACTTCACGCAGCTTCAGTTTCGTAAGCTCGTTTACAAATTCTTTAAACCGCCTGCACACGCGGGTAGTAACAACAATAGAGTAACAGTAATAGCAATACTAACCGGAATTCGCAACAACAATATTAGCGATCGTAACAATGAGAAACATCTGAACAGAACCAATAAGAAAATGAATAATGACACTAATGACACTAGCAATGAAAAACTGGCCTGTGTAAAGCATGAACGAAATGATTGAGTGGATGAATGAACGGCCCCGTGGTCGCTATTTTACTTTGTTTCCACGTTCACACGGTATTAATGTCAAGAGAGCACGTGTGGAATAAGCAAACAGAAGCGTGCGAGCTCACAAAACTAGAGTATTCAAAGGGTGCAAGAAAATAGAAAGATAGCAGACTGAAATTATTTGCATTCCGGGCCAGTCTGTTTCTCTTCACTTCTTAATTGCTTGTGAGTCGAAGGACTAGAAAACCTTGTGTTTGGAATGAAGGAGAACGAAGAGATGAGGGATTTCTCACTCATGCCACTAGAATTTTATTAAATCATATTTCCTAAGTTAATATGTTGAAAGTCGTGAGGATAGAAAACCCCATCGTTTCTTAGCGTGTTTAATGATACGAAACGACCATGCATTTCCTGTCTGGTGCTTCCTTACTGTTATTACTATTAAATTCAGGGAAAAGCTTCTGCTAGATCGTCATGTATATTATTACATGGCACGGGCAGACAAGAAGAACACTACAAAATGACATCTGGAATCCGTGCAATGTCATATCCATAGAAGCATCAGCATTAGATCCACAAGGGCCTGATGTCCTCATGAACATGCTAAGTACTAGAGGGCAAAGGAATCTAAGGCTTGGAGTGCCGCTTGCTTTTCGAGATGTGGGATGACAGGGTTCAGTACCTACACCCTAAGCCTCCACAGGCTGCTACGAATCTGTAGCAGCCCCGAGTCTGTCTGTAAGAGGCTCTTTCAGAAGAAGCTGTGTGCCCCACAGCAAGCGGGTACCGTGCCCGCCGCGCCCGCACTTGGCGTGCCAGGCTGGAAAGTTGGGGGGGTTGAGGGTGAGGGCTTTACCTTTGTGATTACTATGAAAGCCCTTTTATAAGGGTTTCGGGTTTTGGGTTTTGGCTGTGGGGTATAGCATTCTTAGGAAACCTACCAGAAAGATAGGTTTGGGGTTGTGGAAGGTAGGATTTCGGGTTCACAGTAGGCTTGGAGGGATCTGGAATGCAGGGGTTGGGGCCTGAATTGCTTGAGGGCTTCGGGACTAGGACTTTGTGCACGTAGCGTAGGGGGCTGAAGGGGCTGAGGGGCTTGGGCTCTCGGGTTTTTGGGGGGCTAAGGTTTAACCCTACCCCCTCACCTACAATTTCTTCAACGCTGAAGCTTCGACGGTCTAGGGAGGGTTCATGCCGGGGTTCAGGCATTCAAGACTCAGGGACTCTAGGCGTTTGCCGACCTCAAATCTGCTAGGGTTTCTAGGGTTTCTAGGGCCCAGGTTGAGTCCCAAATGTATCACCTAGCCAAACAAGCATCAAATCTCACAGGGGGCACAACGCCCTCATCTTCCAAACCCCAACACGGTTCAACCTGTAAGTATTCCCTCCGAGGATGTGAATAAGTATTCCCTCCATGTATGTGAAAAACTCACCCGAAACCCATACGCTACGCAAGAAGTAGGTTGTTCGGGGCTCAAGGCAGACCCGGAGACTGCCCAAGCCTGTACAGGGTTCAGGCTTTAGGGTTCAGGGTTCAGGCTTTAGGGTTCAGGGTTAGGGTGTAGGGTTTAGGGTTTAGGGTTTAGGGTTTGGGGGTTCCAGGTGTACCTTGTAGGGAAAGCAGGTGCCCAAAATGGTGCCGCCAGCAGCATCCACGCGGACATGGCAGCCAGTTCTGTGGAGCAGCTGGGAGACAAGATTGCGGGTTAGGGGCTAAAGGGTTTAGAGTTTGATGAGCTGAGTGATATAGGCATAGGCTTCAGATGCATATGTTCAGGATCTCAGGGACTCCCCGGTACCAGTTGAAGATGTGCTCATATCCTTAGGGATTGAGGTTAATCTTGTCAGGCTGCTCGGTGGCTTCATTTCTAGTCACTCCCGGCGCCGTTTCTGTTGAACATGTGTCTTGTCCGCGTCTTACTGCGCCGCTCGTGTTCTTACTCCAGTTGTTGCGAGTCTAATATATGTAGCTGCTTGCGTTGTTTGTTGTAAGTATTGCGCCCCGGTCTTGAGGATTACGGGATCCCAAATCCTAAGCCCTGGGTAGCCCTTCCGGAATCCGTGAATCTCGACCTTGGTAGTTCAGGTTGAACAGGGCCAGGCGCTACTTTCAGCAAAGTAGCGAAGTAGCGTGCTTAGAACGTCGGTATATCGGGTTCGAGTCCGAGTGCCAAGGCTATAGCTCGCATGCTGACATGCTTCGTGCAAGGGCTATAGCTCGTATGCTGACATGCTTCGTGGAGAGGATTGAGCTGGCTAAGGAGGCCCAGGAGGAAAGCCACGCAAGCTGCCACAATGCCCGAGACCTTCACACAGTCAACCCTCTTCGCCTTGTTAGGTGCTGAGCAACAGCAGCACGAAGGCTCCTCAAGACACCCCAAAGGTTGACGCAGTTCCCCTCACAAGTTCGAGGGGAGCTAAGGAATCTGCAGGGGTCCAAGCTACCCTAACACCCTAAATCCTTAACCCATAACCCTTAACCCTTAGCGCTTAGCCCTTACTAGACCCTTAACCCTTAACCTCTAACCCTTAACCCTTAACCCTTGACCCTTAACCCTTAACCCTTGCTAAACGTTTCAACCCAAACCCTAGGGTGAGTTCCCATAGACTCAGGCTTGGAGACCCCTCCATGCTGTCGATGGAGGCGTGGGGCAGGGCGCTCGAGGGGGGGCGGTCTAGGGTTTAGGGGTTTAAGGTTTCGAGTTTAAGATTCAGGGTTTAAGTTTAGGGTATAAGGTTTAGACTTTAAGGTTCAGGGTTTAAGTTTAGGGTTTAAGGTTTAGAGGCTTTAAGGTTCAGGGTTTATAAGGTTTAGGATCTATCTTTGCAGCCCGCTTTTTCGAGGCGCTGGCGACGCCTTTCGAAGACCTGAAGATGCCAAGGATCAAGAACGACCTGATCAAGCACGACACTGCGGCAGCTTTAGTAGGGTTTTAGGGTTTGTATGCATATATGTATATGTATGTGCATAATATGTATGTGTATATGTATGTGTATATGTATATATATATATATGTGTATAAATAGGGGTTTAGGATTTGGGGTTGGGGGTTCTTCGGTGCTGGGTGGCTAACCTTTTGAGGGGCACGAAAGGTTCCTGCAAGAGTTTGGGGTATCTCCTGGGGTTGACTCCAAATTCCCGCCCGCACCCATCCATTTCTAGGGTGCCTGAACTCAGACAGCACACACCCCGATGGCACATATACACCTTTACTGGACACCGAGTGGCGCCTTTGGAGAGTGGCCTGTGGTGGGGTAGTCGGGGAATGATCCCTAAACCCTAAACCCTAAACTCTGAACCCTAAACCCTAAGCCCTACAAGGTGATGTGTCGGGTGCTGACCGATGAAGGCTCACAGCGAAGTAAGCTGACACCAATGCCAGTATAAGCTGTGTAGTTGTCAACCATTGATTCCTAGATGTGCGACGGCAGAGCCCAATCATGGATCCAGGCTTCAAAAGTCGCAGGGTCGTAGGGTCGAGGACATGTTTCGTGCCGTTGAGATGGGGGTTGAATTCGCAATGTACCTGGAAAGGGCAGGACTTGCGCCTAGATGAATTCAACAGTCCCACCCGCCCCCCCCCCCCCCCCCCCCCCCCAAACCCCCCACCAACCCCACCAACCCCATCCCCAACGACTCTGTCCTTGCTTCAGCCCGCAAACTCTGACTCCAGAGGACCAAGACTGCACCTTAAGATCTCAACTGCACAGCATCCTAAACCGCTAAACCCCAAAGCCCTGCGATGTTGTTCTGGAGATGTGACAGCAAACGCTGGATTAGGATTTTGGTGTTTAGGGTTTTAGGGTTTCAGTAACGGCTGAAACCAACGACCCCCAGGCGTCCGGACCCGTTGGGAGCCTCCTAAGCCCCTAGATGCTTACGCCCTCGGCTCTAAACCAACCCTAAACTCGGACCCGGAGTAGGCCCTAATTCCCTATTTTGGGGTTCAGGTTTCTGTATAAAGCCACATTAAACCCAAAAAGGCCACACTTTTATTCCTAGATTACTCTTTGGGTCTCGTGAGCCTCGCCAAGGAGCATCGGGCCAAGTTCGCCGAGCACCACCGGGCCTGGCTTCGCTTCGACGCCTACTCGCGGGTGGGGCTCCCGAGTAGTCAGATCTTCCAAATACCCTTAGTTAAGGAATATACCCTTAGTTTATACTAAGGATCATTACTACATGAACTAGGGTATATTCCTTAATTGGGAGATCTGGGATAGTCGAGTATGTAGGTAAGCTTCCTGCCCAGTTCTTTTAAGATTAGGGCCTCATATATTCCGGGTGCCCAAATGGACCCTCCCCAAAAAGAGAGCTGGCCGTGTAGGGCCCGTGTTATAGCACAGCCCCTTGACCCAGCTGCTTGCGCCCCTCCTTGTTTTTTTGGGGGGGAAGTGCCGAACGTCCTTATTGCAGTGTTATCTTGCCAAGGAAGCTACGCCCCTTTGGGGGGGGGGGGTTAGGGTCCAAGCCTCTAGGTAGATGGTAGTTGGTCATACTGCCAAATTATCCAGAGTATTAGGAACTCGAAGCAGCTTACCTCAACTCTCAATAACCAAACGAGGCCATTGCTCAAAGAACCGGCTCAGGACCGAAATTGCAGCCCAAAACCTACGTTAGCGTTTCGTGGTTGGGGTTTAGGGTGGGTTTTGGTTTTAGGCTTGCCCGATGTTTCCAGCAAAGACAATATAGCTGTATGTGTATTGTCAAAAGCAGTTCCAACAACAGACCCCAAAACCCGAACTCCTAAAACCCCGAACCCTAACCCGAAAAACCCTACAAAACCTAAAGCCCGAAGCTCTGCCGCGCGAAGGTGGCAATGGCCCTGGGCATCAACCAGATGCTGCAGTCCATGTCCTACTTCATCGCCGGGCCCGTGCAGAAGCACAGGCCAGTCAAGAGGGCTTCTTTAAGGATTCGGGGTTCAGGGGGGGTGGTTTCGGGGTTTAGGGGTTTCAGCGCTTAGGGGTGTAGGGCTTAGGTGTTTAGAGGTAGGTTTAGGTGCCAGGGAAGGTTAGGACGCCTCCCCCCCCCCCCCCCCCCCGCCCCAAAGCCTTCACCCTTTCAGGGTTGAGGTTTTAGGGTTTGGGGGTCTCCTTAAGGCATAGTGACATAGTGATGCTTTGAGTTGGGGTGGGGGGGGGGGGGGGGCGGGTTTGGGGCAACAATGAGATCCTGTTCTTTTCCCCTTCCTGAGCGGCACCATAAACCCGAAAACCTTAACCCTTTGGGTTTAGTGACGTGTTTGGGGTTTAGGGTACCGTGCGGCGCCTAACTATTCGAGGGTTGGTGGTGTTGCCTGCACCCTCATTGTGGGTCCTTCTCTTGGTTGTGCCTAAGCTTTCCATTTTTATATCACAACGAACTACAGGGGTAACCCTACACCAGAAACCCAAAACCCCAAACTAAACCCGGGTCGGCTTGTGTCCACCCAAAGTTCATAGCGTACCGTGTAGGATGAACCCAGCTCCCGCCCCACCTCGCCCCCCCCCCCCACCCCCCACCCACCCCACCGCCACCCTGAGAACACTACTTTCAAAAACCCTGCTGATACAGTCCCCTAAGCCCAGACCCTAATCCTTTAAGAAACAGATAGGGTTTAGAGTGCTGTTATTGGTGTGAGTGTGTAGGGATATATCGGGTGTCCTCTTGAGAATAGTACCAGTAAAGGCGTAACCCTAGGCCCTACACCCTAAACTCTATATAACGTGCTTATAAAGGGAGTAAATAAGGTTCCCTTGGCATCAGGCCCAGCTTTGCCTTGATCACCGTGATGGGAGTCCAGGCAGAGTTTTTTTTGTTGGAGGGGGGGGGAGGGGGGGTTGGTTGATGAGGTTGACTCTTTAGGGTTCAGGGTGAGCGTAATCTTCAGGCAAGAAATAGAATGTAGTAAATATAATACAATATGTTCGTGTATAATATATATATATATATAACACAATCACAATCTCATAGAACATATGTATATACAATATGCATGCATACATACATTCATTCTCCTCGTTTTTGTAGGGAAGCCTAGCATCCCTGCTAACAACGATTGCTTGAACGGGGAAGATCCCAACCTTCATCCTAAAGCCAAGGTCACACAGGTCCCACAGGAATACGCTTCAGGATTTAGACTGGTCCGTTTCAAGTTCCATTACCTCCCAAAGTTTCGTCTCTCGCATTCCTTCAGTTCCGGTTCTTTCCGTCCGCCATTTTTGACCGGCCGCAGATATGTTCGATCCAGGCCTTCGTTTCTTTTGAGACCTGAAACCCAACAGTCTGTGCTGTTGGCAAATATGCCCAATGTGCCGGTATAGTAACCCATCAGACGGAGAAATATGTTTGTGGACCTTGTGGACCTATGAGCTTCGGAAGACTCTAGAACCCTTACAACCTCAAAAAGCCCAAAGCCCTTTTAACATGAAATCCGAGCAGGCCATCGCCTTCTTCCTCCTCAAGTTGGATTGGCGGACGATGGACACCTTGGCGAAAACCCTAAACCCTAAACCCAAATAAACTAGGACCGGGAGCAGGCCAAATTTTTTTGTTTTTTAGGGTTGAGGTTCCCTTAGAATCCCCTTAAAACCAAAAAGGGCACCCGTCTTATTCCTAGTTTCCTCCCGGGTCTAGTAAACCCCAAAACCCTAAACCCTAACACCCTAGAGGGTTTAAGCTTGTTCAGAGTTCGCGCGACTTCCAGGCTGTCTAGCCTGCCGAATTTAGTTCTGTTTTGTGCGGTTAGGGTTTAGGGTTTAGGATTTAGGGTGTAGGGTGCGCCAGGAGCCGCGTCTCAAGTCTCATTCATGAGTACCCAAAGTCACGTTTCCCTTCCCAAGCCTTTCGAACTTGTTACGCCCTAAGCCCAAACCCCAAACCCGAAGCCCTAAGAACTAAACCCTACTCCTAAACCCTAAACCCTAAACCCTAAGCCTCAGCCCCAAAGCCGAACCAAAAGCCGACCCTGGGGTTCGGGCTCCGTTCAACTAGGATATTAGGGTCTAGGGTTATTAAGGTGTATAGGGTTTGGGGTTTAAGGTAGTTTGGTTTAGGGTTAAGGTTCAGGGCGCAGGGCTTAGGTTCACCAGAAATGTTGTTTCTTTTTTTCGGAATAAAGGACCACTTATAAACCCCCTTGAAGCACATCAAAAAGGCGCACCTTTTCATAGTTAGGGTTCCGGGTTTAGGGTTTGGCTTTAGGCTGTTTATGTTTCACTCTTAGGTTGCTGGCAACCGAGTCAAGTATCGACTGGTCTTCTCTGAACTTGCATCAGCGCGGAGGGTTTGGGTGATCTGCATCGAGGGGTTTCGGGTTAGGGGTTTAGGGGTTTAGGGGTTTAGGGGTTTAGGGGTTTAGGGGTTTAGGGGTTTAGGGGTTTAGGGGTTTAGGGGTTTAGGGGTTTAGGGATTTAAGGTTTAGGTTGGGTTTATGTTCGTAGGGTTTTACGGTGTTCAGTTCATGCAGACAAGGTATGACAGGGCTGTTGCTTGGGAGTCTTGAGTCTCAAACCCTAAAACCCGAAACCCCAAACCCCAAACCCTAAACCCAAAACCCTGAACCCTAAACCCTAACAGTCAAAGGACACCGAAAACTCGGATGACGAGTCTGAGAAGCCGAGCAACAAGCGGAAGGATGTGAGCAGCGCCTTGCCATTGTCGATTGTTTCTGCTCTTGTTACAGAGACCCGCTAGCTGTTTAGGGTTTCGGGCTTTGGGTACCTAAAGATGAGGCTCAGTATCGTGCTATGTACCCCAAAAGGGGATTCTACTGTAGCACATGCGCACATCTGGATACAGCACACACACACACACACACAAGTGCAAACGATCACCAGCATGTTTGCCTGGTTCCAGATCCGAGAACGAGGCCCCCTGTGGCACAGAAGAAATCATCGGGTGTCGGGTTTAGGGTTTAAGGTTTAGGGTTTAGGGTTATCGACCCCCCCTTTCAGGGTTCGGGAACAACTGACGCGTGTCTCTTCCTTGCTTCCTTCCATCCTTATGTTTTCTCTGGCATTCCCTAGCCCCAAACACCCTGAGGACCCTCCGCCCCCGCCCGTTCACTCCTCCACGTTCCCTGAACGCTACAAGTTTCACGCACCAAGCGCTTTTGGGTTCAAGGTTTTGAGACTTTCCCTAAGGGTCCATTTCCCCATGTATTGTATACTTGGGCCCAAAGTCCTTAAAGAGGAGGTACTTTAAGGCCCAAGTACTCCCTATTTAGGTACATGGACCCTTAGGGTTTGGGTGTGCCGAAAGGCCCCGTACTTCAGGTCAGTCACTGCAGGCTCGACATGCGTTGTGATAAGACTTGCTGAAGCTGGCCATGTGCTGTAGCACGTTACAAGGGTTACTAGGTACCCTCCCCCTTGGGATTTTTTCCCTTATTGGGTGTAAGAGGCCCATATTTAGGAATATTTTTCAGAGATTTTCCGAGTGTTTTACGGGCCATCCTAGGTTCGGTTTGTAGGGATCGGGCTCTTCTTCGGGCTTGGGGCTTGAGGTGTTACGGGAGTTGCATGTCAAGCGTAGGGGATCGCAGCGGACAGTTCTTGAGTGCGTCACTTCTGAGAGCTGCTTCTGTGCACCCCTCCGGCTGAAATAGTTGCAGGTGAGAATTCCCCTAGCCCAACGCTTAGCCCTAACCCCATGACTAAACAAAACCCTTGCTGGGTTTGGGAGGACAATATTCCGGTCATTTTTTCAGAGGGCTTGCCGTGGCCAACCCTGTCAAAGCGGCACCCATGACGTGATTGGCAGTGCAAATCTCGCGCTTCATGCCAAGGCTTGGAAGGATCGGAGTTTATTTTCATCTGCATTACCTACCTGCGGCCCGGCTCCGGGATTTAGGGTTTAGGGTTTGGGGTTTGGGGTATAGTGTCACTACACTGCACCTTCCTATGCCGGACCTTCGCCCCACATTCCCCACTCCCTGAGCAACAACATTCTACACATCTACATAGGCCTCCTGCAACACCGGGTATGAGAAGAGAGGGCACTCTGATCTAGAAAGCTACCTGGTTACCAACATCTGACAGCTGCAGCGCCTAAACCCTAAACCCTAAACCCTAGACTAGTACCTAAGGGTTGGAGTATCGGAGAGCAGGCTTTGCGCCCTTTGCTCCCTTCTCTTCGTGGTCAGCTGCTTCAAAGGAGTAGCCACAATTGGCCTGGAACCCGATGCTTCCATAAACCTCCTTTGCTGCAAGCATGGGGGAAATTAAGGCCCGAGGGTGTAAGGTCTTGGGTAGTCGTCTCGGCCCACCTTTGCCCCAAACCCAAAACCCACCCACCCACCCCCCCCCCCCCCCCCCCCCCCACACCCCTACCCCCGCGCCCCCACCCCCAACACCCCCCACCCACCCCTTCCCCCCCAAAAGTCTTCCAGACTGTCTTTCAGACTTCGGAATGCAAGCCCCGCTTTTCTCAAATCGAACAACCAGCCCAACTATCGACAGGTGGGCGCAGCTGAGGACTTGCGCGGTCGGTGAAGGGGGGAGGGTGAAGGTTTAGGGTTCAGGGGTACAAGTCCTTAACACAAAACCCATAAACCCTAAACCCTAAACCCTAAAATGCATCCGAGGCTGCCACCGGTGATATTGGTCCTCATCCTCTGGATTGCACACTACTTCTTTTCCGATCCGGCGACAGGGGACCTGGACCATCAAGGCGCCCGTGGGTTTCAGGTTTTTTTTGGTGGAATTCAGGGTTAGGGGTTCACTAGATCAGTGTTAGGGATCCTTTTTAATTTTTGGGTTATGGGCTTTCTTATAATATAAACAAAAAGGATCCTTTTTTCTTCCTAGGGGAACAGGGATTTGGGTTCAGGGTTTTTAAGGATTTAGGGTTTAGGGTTTAGGGTGAGGGGTTCGGGGTTGATCCCTCCCAAGCCCCAAGCTCTAAGGAGTCCCCCCCCACCCTGCAAGCCCGAATCCCCATGCCATCCCCATGCCTCTACCGAGCTTTGGTGGCTTGAGCGCTTCGCGCTTTGAGCCTTTACAGCTTCGGGCTTCGGACGTCTTGATTTGCTGCACCGGCGGGGCGTAGCAGAAAAGTCGCGGGGGGTAGCCGCCCGACCATTGCTTGAGGAGATGTTTTGAGGATCGTTCGGTTGAGGCTATATCTAGAAGGTTTAGACACTCCCGTTTGTTGGGTGTTGGGTGTTGGGAGGAGAGCACGCTCCAGGGAACCCTCCCCAAACACCGAGCCCTTCATGCGCCTTTTATTTTCTTGCCATCAGTGAGCAAGTTAAACGAAGCCCGACCCTGCTCCCACCATTCAGGATTTTAGTTTCAGGGTTTAAGGCATAGGGTTTGGGGTTTCAGGGTTTCAGGGTTTAAGGTTTAGGGCTTAGGGTGATTTCCGGAGCTGGTGCAGGTCGCATCGTCTCCCGAGTCCTCTCCACGCCGATCTTTTTCCTGCATGCGATCTGGTTTCCTGGCGCCAAAAGCCCTAAACCGAAACAGCGGCTATAATGCCGCGAAAATGCCCGTACAAATTCACCAATAAACCCTACACCCCATGCCCCAAGTCCCATAAACCCCTAAGACCCTGCAAAGCCTATATCCTGCATGGTGACTTCTCCAAGTTAGGGTCCCTTTTGGGGTAGGGTCCCTTATATATTATATGGGGTAGCCAAAAAGGGACCACAATACTGTCAGAACTTCTGAGGATTTCTGGTCACCCAATTTGGGGTTTAGGGCTGTTTGGGGTTCAGATTCCCAAACCCTAAACCCTAAACCCTAGACCCTAAATCCTAAACACCTCCAAATCCAGGCTTTACCTGGTCCGCCAAAGTATTGCGCCGCATCACAACGACCTCCTCCCCGTCCGCCTTCGCACAGTCCGGGCCGCAGCTTTAGGTCTAGGGTTTAGGGCCTAGGGTTTAGGGGTGGCTTTCTAAGGGCTTTAAGTTTTGTTAAGGGCTTAGGGCTTTATGGGTTTTGGGCTTAGACCCAAATCCAAGGGACTAAAGGACGGACCCATATAAGGGACCTTAGGGGTAATGTAGGGGCCACTAAGGTAGAGAGGGACCATATCATAAGGTATATGCAAGGGTTATACAGGGGAATAACATTAAGGGTCCCTTCTAGGGGTCCCTCGATATATCCCTTAACAAACCCTTGTGTGGGAATCTCTTGCTTTAAGATTCGACCATATTGAGGACATTTTTCATGGTAAAGAAAAGCCACATGATGAGAAGCAGCAGGACCACGTAAAGGCCTTCCATGGAAGCCTATTGGTTAGTCCCCTTAAAATTTAGGAGTTGAGGGTTGGCGAGTTTTTTTGTTTGGGGCGGGGGGGGGGGGGCGGGGAGCTGGCAAGACACAGGCTCGCAGACTCCGGCTGAATTCGGGTTCCGGGTTCAGGGTGTATAGGGTTTTTAGGGTATACCTCTCTAGACGGGATACAACTTTGGACTTCAGAGGTCTCAAGCCTCCTCCTGCCTCAAACCTTCATGGCAAGCGCGAAAAGGGCGTCGCCGTAATCTCTGTTAAGGACTGTTGGTATAAGAGGGAACATCCCAACCCTAAACCCTAAACCTGAACTCCTAAACCCTTGATCCCCAAGCCTGAAACGGACGTGCGCGTATACAGCGTATACAGCCCCAGTTGCAAGGTGGGATACCTCGACGTCTTCACCCGGGATGCGCTACAGGTGCCCTTCCGTTCAGAGTCTTGATGCTCCACGGCTTGGGGTTCTTGGAACCCTGAGCCCTAAACACTTATACACGGCCCTAAGCTCTGAAACCCTAAAGTCTAAAACCCTAAAGTCTAAGCCACAAGCTCTAAAACCCTAACGCCTAAACTCCTGTAGTTGTTACACCTTCAGCTAGTAGCTGTGTCGTGAAAGGGGAGGCTGCAGAGTTGAACCTTCCTTGGGTTCAGCCGAACCCCCAACATAGGTTTAAGCTTTGGGGTGGGAGGGTTTAGGGTTTAGGGTTTAGGGTTTAGGGTTCAGGGTTTAGGGTTTAGGGTTCAGGGTTTGGGGGTTAGGGTTCAGGATTTAGGGTTTAGGGGTTGGGCTTGAGGATCCTTTCCCGACAGCCGGTCGTCAACCTTAGGTTCATATAGCCCCCTGCAACCTACCAGGGCTTCGGGTGTAGGGTTCAGGGTTTAGGGTTTAGGGCTTCGGGGGTGGCCTGTGCCCTCAAGGAGCTCTTGCCCGAGGAGGAAGAGGAGCCGGAACAGGACCGGCTGTGCCAGTGTGTATAGGGGACTCCTTAGGGAACCTTAGGTTTAAAACCCCCCTTGAACCTCCCTCCCTTAAGAACACTATAAAGTGCTGGGCGCAGTGTGGAAGTTATGCGATTTGGAGTCAATCTCGCGTTTTGTGGCTCGGGGCTTAGCAAGTGGGGACTCAGCCAAGGCGCCCAAAATAACTATGAGGGGTATAAGCGGTGAACAAACCCTAAACCCTTATAGTCAGATTGCAAGCCATGAACTTCCAAATGCTAGTCTCCAAGCCCGAAACCCTGAACCCCGCAAACCCGAAATCCCAAATCTGCACACCCCTGAAACCCTAAACCTTCTGAAGCCCACCAACGCCCCTGAAGCCCCCTAAACCTCACCCAACACCCTTAACCCTAAATCCCTACACCCGCTAACACTCCGTAAACCTCCTACCCTAAACCCCTAAACCCCAAACCCAAAATTGTTACATTCCCAGGAGAAGAGTACCACACGCCGCCGCCGCGGCCGAAAGAGCAGTTTCTTGGGCCTCATCAGTCTCGCCAGCGGGTTAGGGTGTTGGGGTTTGAGGTTTTTGGGTTTAGGGCTTTCGGGTTGTGGGGCTTGAAGGCTTAGGGTTTAGGGTTTCAGGGCTTAAAGGCTTGATTTTGCTGGGTTTGTTGTTGGGTGTTAGGGGCTTAGGGTTTTAGGGTTTGGGGGTTTGGAGGTTTGGAGTTTTCGCGATTTGAGAAAGGTTCTCGGGCTTAGGAGTTTGAGAGTTTTAGGGTTTCAGGGTTTGGGGCTTTAGGGTGTGAGGTTTTTCTGTGTTTTAGGGTTTAGGATTTTTTTGACATCGAGGGCTTTAGGGTTTATACCGGGTTGTAAGGTTTAGGGTTCAAGGCGCATGGGGGCTGAGGATTGTTTAGTCGTCAGTGTTTGGGATCTAAGGTCTTTAGGGCTTATGGGATTTCTGGTTTATTTCTATATACATGTACTTGTGAGGATTTCTAGGGTAATACTTGTATACCCATGTCCATTATATCATGTACATATCTATGTATGCACCCTACGGCTTGTTCAAGGAGTGTGAACTTTGAGGTGAATCCTGCGAAGCCCCGGAGAGCCCTTTCAAGCCCCAAAGAGGCCAAGGCGCTAAAGCGTATTGCCCTGAAAGCCTACGCCCCTAAAAAACCCTCGCAACCCGCAGCAAAGATGCTGGGTGCCTCAGCCCTACACCCCTAAAAGGTGGAGATGACAATGGCTGCGTTTAGGGTCCAGGGTAACTTCCCTGAACCCTACAAACCCTAAACCCTCAACCCTAAACCCTAAACCCTCAACCCTCAGCCCTAAACCCTAAACCCTAAACCCGGGCTTAGGGTATCAGCTGAGGCAAGAACCGCACCAGTCTCGCGGCGCTGCGGACCGTTACGCCCGCTGGCTGGAAGGGGGGAGGGGGTTTAGGGTTTAGGGTTTAGGGTTTAGGGTTTAGGGTTTAGGGTTTAGGGTTTAGGGTTTGGGGTTTGGGGTTTAGGGTTTAGGTACCCGAAAGGCTTAGCGTTTATGGGGTTCATAGGGTTACCGTATCATGTTGTAGGGTTTATAGGGTTTATAGGGCTTAGGGTTTCAAAATTAGGGGCCTGTGAGGTGCGTTCTTTGTCTTGTTATCAGTTGTTTGACGCCTGAAGCCTTGAGATTCAAGAGCCCTAGGAATCCTCTTAGCAATGCCTGAGGCCCTTAGTCCTGAAACCGAAACACCCAGATCCAAGTATAAATGTCTATACTCAAGAACCCAAAGCTCAATTCGTCGTAGGTCATGGAAGAGCCCTTTTCCATCATGATTCGCTGCTTGGGGGGGGGGGGGGGTAATACAGAGTCTAAGGGGGAGCTGAAAAGCCTGAACCCTGAACCCTAAACCCTAAACCCTACACCCAAATCATAAACCTGAAAAACGAGTTTCGGTTCGGTCACAGGCTTAGCTTCCGCTCGGGGCTTGGGGCCATAAGGCGCTTGAGCGGCCTCGGGGTTTGGGGTTTAGGGTTTAGGGTTTCGGGGTTAGGGTTTAGGGTTTAGAGAATTGTGGCTTCGGAGGTTGATACAAAGGGGTTTAGGTTGTAGTAGGTAGGGCAGGTGGGGTTGAGGGTTGGGGTTTGAGGTTTTGGGGTTTTAGGGACCTTTTGTGGTACAGGGTCCTCAAGGAAGGTGCCCCAATCTTCCCCAGTAGAGCTCCTAAAGCCCAAACCCTAAACCCTAAACCCTAAACCCTAAACCCTAAACCCTAAACCCTAAACCCTAAACCCTTCAACCTCAAGGCTTTGCGACAGCATCGTCTTCGATGGCGAGGCAAGGGTCCAGATTTGGGTTGAGGCGTTTCGCAATTGACTACGAGTTGCTTAAGAACCCCCCCAAAGAACACAAAGCATTCTTCCTTATAAGGTAAGATAGGGAGTATTGTTGTTTTTTTTTTTTTTTTGGGGGGGGGGGCTTCTTCAGTAGTTGAGCAGGCCTCTAAGACATGCCTTTGTTGAGTTCAGGGTTAAGGGCTGTGGGTTGCGGATTTAAGGACGATGTTCAGGAACATTCCAGAGAGGGTTTCAAGGGCTAAGCGAGGTAAGGAGATCATTCATCTTGGGACGAGTACAACCATACTGTACTCTTCTCAAACCCAGCCTCAAGCCCGATACCCTCCTAAACCCTAAACCCTAAACCAAAACCCTAACCCTAAACCCTAAACCCTAAACCCTAAACCCTAAACCCTAAACCCTAAACCCTAAACCCCCCAAATCCCCTTAAACCCTCCTAAGCCTCAGGAGGAGTACCTTGAGCACGTGGAGTGCTCTGGTGGGCGGAGCAGCCCGCGGAGCCACACGTGCCTTTGGCAGAGCTGTTCTGGGTTTAGGGTTTAGGGTTTAGGGTTAAGGGCTAAGGGTTTAGGGTTTAGGGCTTAGGGTGGAGGGTGTAGGGGTTAGGGTTTAGGGTTTAGGGTGGAGGGTGGAGGGTGTAGTGTTCAGAGAAGTCCCAAAAGCCAAGTTTGGTCGGGTTCCCTACGTTACGGTTCCTTCCTTGGGTTTGGGGTTTAGGGTCTAAGGTTTAGGGTTTAGGGTTTATATTGTCCTTGTGTTTTAGCAGATCCTGTTTGCAAGGGCCCTTGCATTCAGGGCAACCCCAAGATGAGGGGCTTCACGAAAATGACGAATTCCAAAAGAGCCTGGCCGCGCAAAATCTGCCCCAGGAAGGAGCTTTCTCCTCAACCCTAAACCCGAAACCCCAAACCCCAAAACAGGAAAGAGCTTTCTCCTCGGAGCCCCACCAGCGACATGTCCCCGGATCCGTCCGAGTCGCATCCTCTGAAGGCACGGGCTGCGCCCAGAACTAAGCCCATAGCCCTGGGACCTTAAGCCCGAAAGCTTGGGAGGTTTAGGGTTTAGGGTTTAGGGTTTAGGGTTTAGGGTTTAGGGTTTAGGGTTTAGGGTTTAGGGTTTAGGGTTTAGGGTTTAGGGTTTGGGATGTTCCCCCTTATACCAACAGTCCTGAAATAGGGATTATAGTACCCCTATGATAATCCCTGTTAAGGACTCTTAGTAAAAGGGGAGCATCCCAACCTAACACTCTAAACTACTCCGAAAACTCTAAACCAAGCCCGAAAGCCTCAGATTTGCAGGGTTTATAGGAACTTTACAAAATTTCAAGGACGACTCGCACTCGTACTAAGTGTACGTACAAGGGAACTTGAATCCCAAGCTAGAACGCTTACATGCCATTCCTGGGGACCGGGACTGTGGAGTTTACACTGTGTACCCCTAAACCCTAAACCCTAAACCCTAAACCCTAAACCCTAAACCCTAAACCCTAAACCCTAAAACTATTTTCCCCACAATTACGGAGGTTTTGAGCTCAGGTGCCTCAAACAGCCGACAAGAGAAAGAATGGATTAGGGCTCAGGGCATGCTTTCGGATTTTAGGGTGTGGAGTTTAGGCCCGGAATAAGCGTGCAGGGGCTTAGAATCCTGAAGTCTTGGTTTTTTGGAACTGAGAAGCGTAGGGTCTAGGGCAAGAGTCTACCTTTTATCAAAATGCCACAATCATCCCCAACAACCGCCTCCTTCGTTTGGGAGGGATGTAAACGGGCAGTTCTCTACAGTAGGGTCCCCGGCCCTTCTTTTCCGGGCTCCGTACTCTATACAGGACCCCAAAAGGCGCCCTAATTTTGAAAGCTACACATATAGTCGCGGTGTACGACAGGGATCCCACAATGCAGGGGCCCAGGCCATGGGATGAGATCCTGATGAAATGTCCTAAACCTTAACCTTATACCCTCAATACCTGACGCCCTAAACCCTAAATACCCTAAGCCCTGAACCCTAAAACCCCTGCTTGTTTGCAGGGGCGTTTCGGGCAAGACACGTGCTTTGGCAGCAGTCGGTCTTGGGCATTGCATTCTGTAGGCATGGAACTAGGGGTCCGGGGTTTAGCGTGCGGAATCCGTAGGGTTTTCGGGTTTGTAGCTTTATCTGTAGTTTAGAGTCTAAAAATATCAAGGTTTAGGGTTTCGATTTCTCCTCAACAATCCCAAGGGGTTGAGCCCCAAATGATAAAATCAGGGTTGATTGAGCCCAAGCCCTAAACCCTAAAACCCTAAGCCCTAGGACCGAGAGCAGGGCCTCATATTTGTAGGGTTTAGTTTCCCCTTTAAACCTCTTTAGCCCAAAAAGGGCACACTTTGCATTCATAGGTTCCTCTTGAAACACCCTAAACCCTTAACCCTAAGCCCTAAACCCTAAACCCTAGTGAACGAAACCCCAGGCCGAAGCACAAAGATCCTGCTCGTCGCGGTCATGCGCCCCAATCCGCAGAGGGCACTTGAAGGTTGAAAGGGCGTCTTCGGGTAAACATTTGGGCGAAATATGGTTTCGGGTTTAAGGTTTAAAAGGGTTTCGTGTTTAGGGTTTAGGGTTTGGGGCTGTCCCCCCCCCCCCCACAACCCTGCCCTACATACCCTGAATCCTGAAGCGCTTTCTTACCTTGAGTTCTAGGTTGACTCCCGGCCCAATGGCACCAGGACCCTAGCATGGTTTAGGGTGTCGTAGGGCTTCGGGTTTCTTGGGGAAGGAGTTCAGGGGCAACCTTTGCGCACGTACAGGGTTGTTGTCTTCTGGAGCCGAGTGAGCTTAAAGTTAATCATTGCAGAATTCCTAGGCTCTCTTAAACAGGGACCTTATTCAGAGGGTCTATATCCCCAAGGGTCCCCCTAATCCTATCCCTTAAGAATTTAGAGTGGGCTTAGGGTCTTAGGGTCCAGTGTGTTGTGTCTGTCGAGTAGGTGGTCCAGCTGCGAAGGGTGAAGTTGCCTATCCTCAGATGCCCCAATGCAACCCTAAACCCTAAACGCCAAACCCTAAACCTGGGTCTGGCATCCGAGGACCACGTCGCGTGGCTTGTCTTGGGACGCTTCACCACCACCATGATTTGGCTGTGGCTTTTCGGAGGCCTGCAGCTTACCATGGGATCCCTTTAGTAGCATCTCCTTCCCACTCATTGAGGCCGAACTGAGGGTGTTTAAGGGAGAACCTTAAGTGGAGGCGGGCATGGGGGGGGGGGGGGGGGGAGCACGTTTTGTTGAGATGTATGTTTTTTCGAGGGAAAGCTGGCCACGTTCGCTCTACCTTGAATCACATACCTGGTCTACACAAACCCTGCGAGCTCTCGACTTGCCAAGGTTCAGATTCCTTGCGGACTAGGATGCTGAAGTGCAGAAGTTAGGGTGAAGTTAGGTCCCCAAGCAATATCGCTCGGGGAAAGCCTCGAGCTCACATCCTGCTCAGCACCCTAGAGCCTGGCAAACCGGACTGCGGGATTTAGGCTTCACGGTCTTTTGGGCTCGCCGTGGAGACTGTTGGGGGGTAGGGGCAATGTGCCCGACCTTGAGACCTTGAGAACCCAAACTCCAGAAGAATTGCAGGTTTGGGGTCGGGTGGGTGGGGGGCGGGGGTGGTGTCGAGGCTTCATCCATACCGTCAACTTCTTCCTGGATGTCGGGGGCAGCCCTATCGACGTCAACGGCGTCATCCAGCAGTCGGCGCCCACCAAGGCGGACGATCGTGAATCCCCCAAAAGCCCCAAACCCTGACTCTCCCCCCAAACGCCTAAAGCCTCAGAGCGTAAAGCCGAAGAACCCCCGAAGACAGGAGGAATAGTAATGAAATATGCTTGCCTCCAGCCGGGGGCTCTGCACTATTTCCGGAGAACATACCCCAAGCCCCAAAGCAATAACTACTATTTGCTGAAGAACCTTAAGGGCCATACGGGATTGTTTTTTCGGGCTTCTGAAGCAAAGAGTAGATAAACCCCAAAGCCCTCAGAGTCTTGACATGACGTAGTGGGGCATCCGTTGAAGTTCTATGAGACATAGTCTGGGCCTCTTAAACCCTCAATGCTTTCAAGCCTTGAGAATTGTAGCCCGGCCATGCCGATTCAAGAAACCTTAAGCACCCCCTACTGGCTGGGCTGTTTATTTCGAATGGGTGCCTTGGTTTATGCATGTGTATAAACATACCTTTATGTAGATACTTGTATATACAAACTTGTATATACAAATAAGCATAAGTATATATACAATAATGATATACGGTTTATGTTTCTTCCGGCTCCGCTGTATTCGGCTGTATGCACTGTCTACACCCTAGACC